TGGTCGAATCTTTGGGAGGGAAACACAACAGCCACTCGGTCTTTTCTGGGTTGAGCACAAGCTTTGAGCAATACTTTGCCTTGGACTCTGATTTAATTTTGGATGCTATCTGGAAGGCTGACATGAACCCGAATCTGAAGCTTCTGAGTTCTTCAACTTTTTCAAGAAGCAACTGGACTTTCTGGGTTTTTTTTTTGGGGGGGGGGGGAGATGTTTGGCTTCTCATCCAAGAAGCTCCTTGCAGGCTCCTTTACAAATTCCAGGCTCTATTATAGTGTCAAGTTGAAGTCTATGAAGAGTCTCAGTCATCCAGATCATGGTTGACCCAAAGGTGCTTTTTTCAAGGGGCAACTGGACTTTCTGGTTTTTCTTTGAAGAAAAATTTGGTTTCGCTTCTCATCCAAGGAAAATTTGGTTTGCCATCTCACTGCAAAGGACCAGCTGTCTGCAAGGAATATAAATCCTTCCATTCCCCACCATCCAGTCAGAGCTGAAGAAGCTTCTTGGATGAGAAGCAAAACATCTTCAAAGAAAAACCAGAAAGTCCAATTGCCTCTTGAAAAAGCACCCTTGGGACAACCATGATCCGGATGACTGAGCATCTCCATAGACTTCAACTTGTCACTGTAATGGATCCTGGAATTTCCACTGTACACAATGATTGTTGTAAATCAAGGCTTCCAATGGACTGACCCAATGTTATGCTCTTTTTTGTGGCAGTCATTAAATGAATGCCACAGTCATTAAGTGAGCCAATGCGAGTTTATTGCCAGAAACATACTGTACAAGAGCAGACTATCAGAAAAAATCTATCCTGGCATCTTGTTATCTATTTCATTAGGAAAAAAAGATATGATTGTGTTATATTAAATCTTCAAAACTAGTCCAGCGCATTGTATGCAGTTTTCTCTGAAAAATTAGGGCAAATGTTTTGTGAACAAGAATTATAACTGAATAACAACCAGGGTACCAGTTATATAGGTAATAAAATGAATAAGCTAGCTGTCAGTTCTGGAATCCACCTTCTTCTTTGGAGCTTCAGGGATGGCACATTTAGTGCTTGGGAAAATGGGAGAGGGAATTATAAGAAGCTGGTCAGTGGAGGGTTTCTGCTGGTTCACACTGGATCGGGAGAACCGGGTGGTGAAATTTACCAATCTGGTGAGAGGAGGTTCGACCGGTGGACCCAGAAGTAACTTCCGGAACGCCAGCCCCCGGCCCTGTCGCTGCTCGCTCACCCCTGCCTGTCTGGAAGCCAGTCCATCACACCCTTCCCCCGCCTGTCCGCACTATCCTAGCCCAATTCGGTGTCAAGTCCCATACCTGGGAGTGGAGGTGGTGGACGGAGAAACATAGAGAGGTCCATCCACCAGTCAGCAGCGGTAAGCTAAGGAGTTTTCTCCTGGATTCCCCTCTGTCTTGCCTCCTCCGTTCTCCCAAAGTTCTTTCCCCAGAGGGTGGTAGCTTTCTACTGGATTCCTCTCTGTCCTGCCTTCTCCGATCTCCCTAATTTCAGCCCTTAATCCTCCAGTTGTCTATTTTTAGGAGGTTTTCCCCTCTCTTCCCCCCTTCATAGGAGTCCCAAAAAGTTTTGCCAAATGGCTTGGGGCTGGTGGTCATGTGATTGAGTGTGCATGAGTGATGTCAAGTTGGCCATGCCTGCCTGGTCACATGACTGCAAAGCCACACCCACAAAATAGGCCACACCCACAGAATAGGTTCTAAAAAAAATTGAAACTCACCACTGGAGCCGGGGGACGATTAGCCATAACAATAATCACTTCTCTGGGAGTCAAGGACACTCAGCCTGCACCTGGATGGGGAGTGACGGGGGTTGTCTCCAGTTGGGATGATGAAATGATTGGGCCATGTGCTGGACCTGTGGGTGCAGGAGATGGATCTTTACTTTCTTTTTGGATGGGAACAAAAATGGAACTTTCAGATTCAGGTTGACCCAGATATGCCGATAGGACATCTCTGTTAAAATGAAACTTTGAGGAATTGCTAGAAGACCAGAATTGTCTTTCGTGGGAGGTGTTACTTGGAACCTTGACACTAGCTATGCTTACATTTTGTGCTTTTTTCCTGTGTAACATAATCCTGTGTAAATGAGGATACATTTCTCAGTAATGACTAGTGGTGGGCTTCCACCGGTTCGGCCCGGTTTGGCCGAACCAGTATTCATTTGGTGGCCTAGGTCACTGGAACTGGCAGTGAACCAGGCCTGCCATGCCCCTGAATTGGTTCTCCCAGCAATGCTGTAGGCAATGCCATCTTGTTGTTTTTTGCTTCTGCGCATTCCCAGAGCATTTTTTCCTGCACTGTGCTTGCGTGACAAAGTGCTTGTGGTGTGGCCATGAACGAACTGGCAGTAGTGACTGCCAAAACCCACCCCTGGTAATGACATACTGATTTTGTACCTAATTTAGATAACTAAGACTTCTGTCAATTGAGATTTTAAGTCATGAGGGGAGGGGAGGCAACCTTGACTTCTTATCAGCTTTGAAATGCTTTTGATTTAGTCATTACTTCTGGCAAACTATTCATCATTTCCTTCCTTCCTTCTTCCCTCCCTCCCCCATTCCTCCTTCCTTCCTTCCTTCCTTCCTTCCTTCCTTCCTTCCTTCCTTCCTTCCTTCCTTCCTTCCTTCTTTCCTTCCTTCCTTCCTTCCTTTCGTGATTTATAGGCTCTCAGCGACCAACCATCCTTTGACTCCTCAATGCGATATGGACCTTAGCACTTCTGAAGAATTCTACCAAGCTGTTCACCATGCTGAACAGACCTTCAGAAAAATGGAAAGCTACCTGAAGCAACAGCAACTCTGTGACGTTATTTTGATTGCTGGGAACCGCAAGATACCTGCACACAGGTATGTATTAAAGTAAAAGAGTCATAAGGAACATTTCTTAGGCAGGAGTGAAACAAAACCAAATGCAATCGCACCTCATTCTTGAAAGTACGCCATTGTATTTTTTAAAGTTGTTCAATTCTTTAAGAACATCTTCCTCTTAACAAACATATAATGGTGTAAGCCTATGAGTATGAAGAGTCAGTGTGGGATATACTTACCTTCCCTACTGGTTCGCAAATGTGGAAGTTCACAAACTTCACTTGCACACCAGAGGTGGTATTCTGGTGGTTCGCCCCAGTTCGGGCGAACCGGCAGCTGCAGGAGGCTCCACCCACACACCCAGACATCATCACGGATGCTCTGCACATGTGCAGAAGTGCCCCATGTGCGCCCTTCCGGTTCTGGACTAGTAGCAAAGGTAAGAGGATTTCATGCCTGTTGCACATGCCATCTTCGGTCCATGTGCAACACCTTCTACATTATGTAGGGGTGGGTGGCCGGAACCTCCCACAGCTGCCGCCACTGATTCGGCCAAACCGGAGAGGACTGGCTGAATATCACCTCTGTGAAGTTTGATGATCTGATCGTTGATATGATGGTTTTAGTTCCTACCTTGACATTTTATTTAACTATTTGTGTTTTTATAACTAAGGTTAAATGTTTATTAATGGTCCACTATAACCACAACAAGAAGCTTGCTTTGGTAGAGGACAAAATTCTAGCTAAGATAAAAATTGGAGGGAAAAAGGTTTAAACTATGTAATAGAATTTATGTAGCTCTCTATATATTTTTGTCAGAGCCGAGGTGGCGCAGTGGTTAAATGCAGCACTGCAGGCTACTTCAGCTAACTGCAGTTCTGCAGTTCGGCTGTTCAAATCTCACCGGCTCAGGGTTGACTTAGCCTTCCATCCTTCCGAGGTGGGTAAAATGAGGACC